GTAACGGCGGTGAACAATTAAACCAGAAGAATAAGGCGAAGTAAATTTTTATATAGCAAAACCTCGTTACTTGTAATTATTATCACATTTTTACTGTATAAAGATGGTGTGACAGGCTGAGGATGATTAAAACAATGTGAACTGTCATTAAATATCAAGGTCAGATAGCTATAATTTATTATTAATTTTATTATTTGTTATTGATTATTTTTATTAGGCCTATGCCTAATTTACCAATAAAACTTGAAAAAGAAATCTGCGTGAAATTTAATAATTTGTTCTGCAACATTTACAAAAATACGTCACAACTTAATGTTTTTAAATTATAACTATTAGTCTAAAAACAACAGTGCGTTAAGTTGGGCTGCCTTTATTTTACTTTTCAAGAATGGAGACTCATTTTATCACAGTTACATCAAAAAACAAGATTTATTTTGAGCTGTCGGGAGATAAAAACAGCGCAGGTTTGACCTTTTACTGAGCTAAAGAAACAAACGCCGGTGAATCGGAGCTCGCGCGAGGCGGATGTATGGACGGAACAGATGCGCCTTGGTCTCGTGCAGCTCGGTCGCATCTTTGAGCGCGTTAAAGAGATTTTCATGCTGAACAAAAGCAGCTGCCACACCTTTCTCCCGTCACTGAGCTAATTCATGCAAGACCTCTGCGTTTTGTATATTGATTTTATAATCACTTTAGCTTCGGAATAGAAAGAAAAGAAACAGAGCAGGAGCTGGTTAAGAAAGAGCTACAACAAGCTCTTTTTTCCCACCCAGTTTATTTTAATCAGAGGCTTCTGCGTGCGCCAAGCCTCGAGGTTCGCATGGGGGATTAAGTGTTTTATGAATAAAAAAGCGCGTGTTCTCCTTTCTTGATGACATTGTTGATAGCACGCGAGTCTGATCTGGACCAAAATGGCGGCGGTAACAGGTTTCCATACATACAGGCCTCTGCTATATGGCAGGCTGCTTGTTGTTGGACCCCCAACAGGTTGGTGGCTGCAACACATTCTGGACACTGCTGCTCATTGCTCAGTCTGGAGGAGCTGTGCTGTCCTCGGTTAGCCTGGAGCCTTTCAAATTAAAGCTCGTTTCTGGGTGAGCCGTGAGCTGCATCCTTTATTCGACTCTGCCCTCGATTTGAATGAAAGCCTGCTGAGTGATGTAGGCCACACTTTCTAACAAAAAGGTTTCCACAAACCCGCTCAAAGAAGCTGCAACAGAGCCAATTTTCAGTCTATGGGTATATTTAAGGTGCTATCAAAGGGGTCTAAGGAGTCCTAAGGTGAATAATAAGATAAGACATTTCGTGTGAAATACTGAGTTTATCAGTGAAGGCTAATAAATAGCCTAATTACAATTAAACACTCTAAAGGAGCTGATTTAAATCTGTCACTTTTGGTTGGAAATCCCTGATCTATTTGCTTGGACCTTATGGCCCGAAAGAACATTTATGGTGCGTCTTAAAGTCAGCAGCAGCGCTATCATCACCCGATTCTACTAAACACCTTGTTCGATGCATGGTCTTTGATTGCATTTCCTCCATAGGTATTAAAGAATAAAGCGTTTTCTGGTGGTAAATGGAAAAGTGCGTAAACACACCCAGCACCACAGCCGCCACACAACGAAAAACGCAACAAAAGCTATTAATGTGTGCTGCAGGTGAAGCCTGACAGTGGAGGAGACTGTGCTCCTGCAGTGTAAAAATGTGGGTGAAGTGATTTCACCTCCCTGCTCGTCCTAATGATTGCATGTCTCCGCAGGGCTCCGTGGAAGCGCAGTGTGGGCTCGTGCTGAACGGCCAAGGGGGCGTCATCCGGAGAGGTAAGGCCCCGTTTACTCTCTTGTTGTTGTACCGGAGGCCGTGAACGCTCACGGCTCGATGCGACAAGACAGCCAGCAGACAGACAAACAGGCGGAACACTCCTCTCTTGTCTGCTGTCAACATGTTACAGCAGGAACGGCCCCGCTTTCTCGCCTGTTTAAACAGGAGCACACTGTTGAACAAGCGCACAGACGGTGCTCCCCGTTTCCCCGGTGAAATGCACTGTCACTCAACGCTGTTCCCACTCACTGGGTTGTCTTTGAGCTTTGTTCGATGTTGATAACATTTTAGACAACGTCATAAATTAATCAGGCGCTGATTTTAACGTCTTATTGTGCACACGGGCTACATATAGATTATAACTGTGCACTTAATGTCACATCAACATACACTTTGAAGTCAGTCCTGCAGGTGAAAGCACAGGCTGTCATTAAAATAAACACTATTTTCATGTAGGCCAATATTAATGTTTATTTTGTGATCATAACAATTTTATAAAATGATTATAAGGCCCAGACATGATTGATTGTCCCATCTCTCTAAAAGGAAATAACCGGTAGCGCAATTATTTATTTTAAAGCCTGTGTTTTAAAAGCCTATATAGGCAAGAAAACAATTAGACAATAAAAATAGTTTGTAATTTCGAAAAAGGGCTGTATTGGATTTAATTTAATTAAATAATATTTTACATATTAAATTATATCTTTATAAGGTAATGTCATTAAGTCATTTTAGTTCGATTATAGCCTATAGATTAATGTGGTGATCTTTAAAAAACAACAAACTTAAGACTGAAACCAAAAGGCCAATTAATAGGCTATGATTATTATTTAACTGCTCTCATTAGGCCCTAACCAAGCGTTTGATTGCTTCTGGGCAAAATGTACTTCATTTTATTTTTATTGTCTTTTAGTTGTAGACTGTAACGTAAACCACATCACAGGAATAATTATGGAGTGCCGTAGTTACACAAATGTTAGTTGTGTGCAGGTTTGTGAGCTGGTGCTGCAGCCGGCTCAGGTTGTGCTTGTCCAGGTGAGAATGTGGACTCGACCTGCGCCAATCAGCCACTTCCGTATACGTGGCACTGGATCTTCCTCTGCTCCATCAAAGCCTGCTCCTCTGGGTTGTTTTTTTTTTTTTAAACCGGGACTATGTGTAGCTTTCCACACAGAGAGGAAGGCTGCGTCTTGGGTTTAATTTTTCATCAGCTCTGCCTAGGTGCTGGGGCTTTTCTCTCGGATTGACGCGGGGATCCCTTCGCTATCACTTTCGGTTAATGGTGTGCCGTATTTGGCCCTGAGCTCAGCCGCTGCAACCATCACAACCAATAATCTTTGCTTTACCTCCCGCTCCAGTATCGATAGCTTCTCTCGCCCCGGGCGGACGCTTTGATATGCTAATGCCGAGCGGGGCCCCGGATTCAGCCGAGATCATATTAATGTTGTTCTTTCTGACTGCGGCTTCGGCGGCATGAATATTCACACAACCTTTTTCAAAAGAAAATCACTCAAGAAACGCGGATCCTACTTAGGAGGAGTCGTCTGTGTTTTTAATCACGCTGCTATCCCTTTTCCAGTTCAGCTCTAACAGCAGCCTCACAGATCAAACTGATCTGTCAGACGCGCGTCCCTGCCTCCACAGCCTGTGCACGCGGCTCTCTGTCAAGACCATATCGGGTTTTTTTTTTTTTTTTTTTTAAGAGTTATAAATGTTGTTGTTAAAATATGAGGAGAATGACATTTGGCCCGTGTCTCCTTTTCTTTAATTTTCGTGGCAAACTCGTAAAAGGCGCTTGATTCCGCGTGTGATCCCGCCCGCCGCTCGCGCCGCTGCCCGAGGCTACTCTCCGTTGCTTAAATACCGTTATCGCCTCTGGGCCCGCACGCTCCACTGACTGCACTACCGGCAATAGCTCTTTTCGATTGCCCTTGGCAACATAAAATACAAACTACTTTGAATCAAAACATTTTTAGGGGAATTAATATGATGTGAACCGGCGGCTTTCAGCGACGCGCGCCCCTGTCAGAGCGCGTGAGTCTGATAGACAGGTGTGCCCGGTTTGTGTCACATACAGAGCCGCACATGCACCCACACACACACACTCACGGACACACACACACAGAGAGGGGCTGGAGCTCAACCAATCGGTTCCCTCGACCTGCAATCGTCCATTTTTGACAGGGAGTGAAATACAAGTCCCACACTGCCTTGTACAAAGTGCTGCCTGCTGGACTATATCAGGCTTTTGTTTCCACACCATTATGATGTCACGGTTGGGCTGTGAGTCACTGTCCACGTGCTGAACCTGGATGACACCGGTTTGAAGCTAAAGGTTGACTGACTGCACATTTTTGCTGAGTGTGAGAGTAAAAATGTACTGTACAGTTGGTCACAGACGAATGGGTGACAAATAACAGGCAAAACTAACAAATTCAACATCACAGATGTTTTATCAAGTGTCTCCAGATCAGTTTCAGTGCTGCTCTATTGGTGTGAGGATCATTCTCTCAAAACATTCCCTCAGTGTATTAAACCCACTTTTTCATTCCCATTAAACCATTCAGTAATCTAAACCTCCAACCATTAGTCAGTTTGTTAACTGGCAACTATTTTGAAGCAAAAATCACCACCGTTTTCCATTCCCACCTTCTTTAATGTGAGGAACTGATGCCTTTTCTTTGTCATATAATTAATTGAGTATCTTTGGATTTGTTGGTTGGACTAAACAAGACATTTGAAGACATCACCTTTGACTCTGGAAACTCAAAATGGAGATTTTTCACAATTTTTGACATTAAAAATGTCATAATGAAATAATTTATTTACACTCATTTATTCCGGATTTTCATTTGTCACCCATCTGTATAAGGTTTAGCTGGTGGTCATAATGGCCCCAAAAGTGTTCATCCTACCCTTGCCTCTTGTTCCATTTGTCTTAAATGGCATCCTTTTCCTTTCATCATATCCAGCACGGCCTAATAACAATGCGACACGCCCTGCTGTTAGATTTGATAATGAGGCAGATGAATAATAGAATACAGCCTTCAGTACATCAGACAGAAACCTTGCATTTCAGCTGCTTGTGAAAGTCTAATAATAATAGGCCTACTCAAAGCAGTTGTTTTAGAGAATCCGGCAACAATGACTCAGATGCAGGTAATAATGTGAAAGAGCATGTTACAACCATAGTCATTTACTCAGGAGCCTCAAGTACGCCATGAAATCAACTCAGTGGAAGCTGACTAAAGAAGGTTTTGTTTCCCCCCCCCCTGGGATCAGAACGGATAGTGCTAAGACACAGGCAAACAGTGATCTGAAGTAGAAATATAAATATATGTGCACGGAAAAAAAAAAAATTCAACTAGTGAAAAGGGGCCTGATGAAGCAGAAACTGAATCCAGTTGTAGGTGACTGGTTACACAACACATTATTGCTATTGCACCAGTACAGTGGGGAAGAGGCCTTCTGTTTGTTCTGCTCACACAGCTGATTTGTGTCCCTTGTATCACACCCTGATATGTGCCTGAGGGATGCAAAACGTGTACAAGGCACCCACTAAGAACAAAGGTACAAAAAAGCCTCAATGCCTACACAGGTGAGGGTCCATCCACAGAAAAAGCAATGTTTGCCTTTTCTGCAGAAGTAACTGTTTTGTGTACAGTGACCAACTACAGGGTGAGGGTTGAGGGTACATTTATGCCTTTATCCATTAGTTCTTTTTTGAACTACTGTTTATTTTACGACTTTTCAAGGTCTACATGGAATTTTGCTGAATATATTCAGTACACAAATTAAAGTACTCACACTAAAAGTAAAGAAACAGGCTCTTGTAATTTATTAAAACAATGCAAAACCTTATCTTTATCTGTAGATCTGCGGATTATAACTGTTTATGACTGTATATTGTATAAACAAGTGGAGGCTAGAGTCATTTACAGGCAGTTAGATGATGACCTGACTGAACTCTGTTGTACTGTCATTGTGTTTGACACAGTGGAAATGAACATTCAAATCCTGGATCTTGGCTTTTGGCACATTGTGTTTGTAAACATACTTTTAAATTAGCGTTAATAAATAAGCAGTATGATTGGCTTACCTAACTAAATGTTTATATAAAAATAGATAAACCTGGTTGCACAACTTTCCAGTGTCTATGCAGGGGCTCACCACTAAAGTTTGTCAAACTGCCGACACCTAGTAAAATGTGTACATTTGGAGCATTGACCTACTGTAGTAGTACACAAAAGTACAAATGCTGCTACGTGTGGCACCTGAACATATATAGGTCAATAATCGGAAATCTGCTGGATTTATTTATTTATATCCACTGTTATGCTGAATTATTTCAGCTTCATGTTTGTTTGTCTTCTAAAAAAATGTTACACACAGCAGCATCATTAGAGAAATATGTTTGCCCATTATTGTTTCTATATGAGTTGAGGCGCTGGTGGAGTTGCATGTTCAAATCACAGAAAGTTACAATATCTAGCACGGCTCCATGCCAGTCTTCTTCAAAGCCAAATTAAGTAGTTATTTGCAGTTGCATAAAGACTCCATTATGGAGCACTCGCCATTTGATGGCCACTTTTTTTGCCGGTTGAACTTTGTTAAGATCCAGTTCCTGGCAACTGAAGTTGTCACAGGACATGCAACCGTGCTTCTAGTGATGCTGCTGTTTGTCTATACGCTGCACTTGGTTGTAACTGCTCGGTTGTGTTTTTGCACAGGGGGAACATGTGTGGTGAATCCTACAGATCTGTTCTGCTCGGTGCCAGGTCGACTGTCACTACTCAGCTCCACCTCCAAATACAAAGTGACCATTGCCGAGGTGAAAAGAAGACTGTCCCCACCAGAGTGCCTCAACGCCTCCCTACTGGGCGGCATACTGCGCAGGTCAGTGCTCGTCTGCACAGGGCAGAAATCTGACAGCAATGTCTCGCTTGTTCTTAAGAGTTCTTTTAGTGCTTCTAATATAAGAAATCCTTAATTGTAATTTAATCTTACTTATCATTTCATAGCTGGTAGAGAAAAGCTTTCCAACAAAGGTCTTTAAAGCTTCTACAGTAACTGCAGCTACAGATGTGTCTCATTAGGAAACTAGGCCCACAATAACTGGACATAAATTCTAAAGTGACCACTGACCAGAACCTTGATAAATTTTGGAAAACGTTTGATTGTCCATCAAAATATTTTGTCCATATACTATCCTGTACAAACTGCTGAAGTAAAGAGGCGAGTGTGACAGAGAGGGATTGTTTTAAAAATGAAAACATGGGTTTTTTTAAGGGTAAATCTGGCTGGGAAATTGGAGAGCACCACCCGAGTCTTTGTAGCTCTCAGATGAAACACAGGATACACACTAGCACCCACCACTATTGTAGACAAACAAGGGGCCGGGGCTGCATGCGGCGCCATGCCCAGGGAGCCAGAGGCAGGCGAGTCTAGGCCAAAGCATGGCAGGATCAGAGGAACCACAGGAAAGCAAGAGTTGCCAGCACTGTATTATTGATGAGGCAGAGAGAAAGGGAAAGGCGGGAACAGGAGAGACAGAAAGAGCAGAGAGAACGTTGCTGCTCCTTATAGATAAGGTATCAAAAAAAAATCTAAAATGTAACATGTAAATAAGGGTGTTGATTCTCATCTGGAGAAAAATAAACCAGAGAAACAGCACAGAAATGATACAAACGGGGACCATATATATGTTGGTGTGTCATTGACCAAAGTATGAAAATTAAAATCACTTCCTCACCACATCTTGAGCAAAACTGCAGAGCAGTAGTTTTCATTTCGCCCAAATGACCCAAAAGGATCTTTAGAGTGTAAGAAACAACAGGGACTGTTGTTCCAGGGTTTTCCAAAATAGACATCCTCATGTTGGATATGGAAAGAGATAAATGCTCCAACAATAAAAGAGGAAGCTCATGGAGACATGTAACCACACCTGTGTATAAAGAAAGTATGTTTAATGCTTTAATTTTGTAGTCTTTGGTTTTATGCTTAATTTCATGGCATTGTCAAAGCAAAACAAATCTATATTCTTCCATCCTTACATACATACAGTATCTTTACAGAATAAGGAGACCAGGTGGTTTCATCTGTATACTGGTTCTATGAAAACCTTTCGATGATGATGATATTCAGTCTCTCAGCATCTTATAAAATGTGATTGTTTGATGATGTGGAATATGTGGTGTTTCTTTTTCTACAGAGCAAAGTCTAAGAACGGAGGCCGGTGTCTTCGGGAGAAATTAGATCGTCTAGGCCTCAACCTGCCAGCAGGACGAAGGAAAGCTGCTAACGTCACACTGCTCACCTCCCTGGTGGAAGGTGAGGGACTTCAGTCCAAAAGACTTTCAAAATCTTCCAGGATGTTTAAGATACTGTTTAATTTAACAGTTTTTATTGTGTTCAGGTGAGGCACTGCACCTGGCGAGGGACTTTGGCTACACCTGTGAGACAGAGTTTCCCAGCAAGGCAGTGGGAGAGCATTTGGCGAGACAGCACAGCGAGCCGAAAGAAACCAGCGCACGCAAGAAGATGGTTCTAGCTACAAAGTGAGACTACAAACACACATTCATACACATGCAGAGATACTCCCTACTAGGGATGTCCCAATCCAGTCTTTTGTTCCCGATACTGATCAGAGTCATTTAAGTATCTGCCAATACTGATTCTTATAATTACATACAGTAAGGGGAAGCCTGTGGCTCAGGAGGTAGAGCGGTTATCTTCTAACCAGAAGGTTGGTGCTTCTCCTCACTTCTCATGTCAAAGTGTCCTTGGGCAAGACACTGAACCCCAAGTTGCTCCTGATGGCCAAAGTAGCGTCCTGCAGGGCAGCGCTGCCATCGGTGTGTGGGTGTGTAAGTCTTCCCATCGCAGGACTAATAAAGGGACTATTAATATTATAGTAAATGTTCATTAAATATCTGACATATTGAAATTAAAATTAATCTGGCACACTGTATTTTTCAGGGGCATCTTGAACCAAATACTGGATCAGGTCATGGTTCCAAAATATTAAGATTATTAGCTCAATATATTGATATAAATAAAAGAATAACTGTGAGCTGGACTGTTCTCAGCAAATACAACATTCTTTTAATGTCAGTGCTTTTTTTTTCTAGCAGGTCAAAAACTCCTGATGTAAGTTAGTGTTTGTCTGCAAATCTATAAGATGAAAATCACAATCAGAGCAACAAGGCCAAGAGAAATTAGAATTGATGCCTTATGCACCATGTTACAGCCATGGATTCCCTCACCACTAGCCATCCATCTCATGGGAATTCTTTGATAAAAAGTGCTTGGACCACCAACTGGGAAACTATAAGTTTAAGATGTGGTTTGTTTTGCTGTGTGTAAGGATGCCATTACACATCTAATCCCATGCACAAACACACTTTTCATGCAGAGCATGTACTGAGTTTGAATTTTAAGATACTGTCCTGCTACAGGGCCTGTATGTATTTAACAGGAAGCGCTACATTTATAGTACATCCTCACACTGAGTGCTCCCACGCTTTCAGAGCTAAGATGATTTTTTCCCCCAGTAAAAAATCCTTCTGACAATTACTGCAACACTGACAAAAATTCAAACAGACATCCTGGACAAATGTTCAAACCTGACTGACTTTACTTCTGCAGAATTTCTGGCATCATGTTGTGAAAGCGACTTGCTCAGTTTTGGATGGACGTTGAACATGTGTGTCGGTCCTGCATGTAGCATTCCTTCAGTTGCTCGCTGAGCGGAAAACACCGGAATCATGTGTGGATTGATCCAAAATGACAAGGATGGGTACAACAAGAAAAAGGCACAAATTGTGACGATTATGTTAGAGACAGATGGTAAACCCTCAGTCCCTCCCTGCTTCTGTCTGACAGGCAAATCTGTAAGGAGTTCCAGGACTTGTTGAGCCAAGATCGTTCTCCTCTGGGCTCCTCCAGACCAACCCCCATTCTGGACCTGGACATCCAGAGACACCTCACACACTTCAGGTAACACACATATGTCGACTGTAACTTCAATCTGAAAACACTGTACAATTAAAGCTACTGAGTGGAAACAGTCTTCTTGCAGAGCCCTCCATGCTGCTTGTTTTGGCTCTGACCTCTTTGCCATTTTCAAAAGATGCAGCTGTGCAGTTTGTTATTTGGCACAGGAGGAGGCGGAGGAGACAGCGGCTTGTTAGCAGAAATGTCACATCTATGGCATCATTCTTTGCAGACTATAGAAAGTTTTATCAATCCTCCAGAGGGAAATGTACTCTGCAGTGCTGGACAGAGAAACATGATGTGAGCCCAGTCAGAGAAACAAAATGAACAGCAGCATCCTTCAGGCAGCTTAAAGGTCTGGTTCGAAAGGTGACCAGACATTTAGTTGTGCAAGAACCTGCCCAAGGATCCAATATCATTGAACTGACTCTTAGAAATAGGGTTAATGATAACTGCTGATCACTACTAATTCCCACACTGGATTTTGGAGATACACACAACTACTGTACAGTGTATTTTGAAGGAATCTTGTAGAGTAGTATCTGTATTTGGTCTGCAACTAAGGATCATCATCTTTCAAAGGATATTTTCTAAAATAACTGTTTAGATTATAACATATCAGAATATTTGTGAAAAATGTCCATCATATGTTTAAGCCCGAGGTGACAACATCCCCAACCAACAGTCAGTTTATTGTGGCACTAGACAAAAAAAAAAACAAAAAGAAAAGATGCACATCCTCACAACTGACAAGGTAGAACGAGGTAATTGGCATTTTTGCTTAAAAAACTACACAATTTTCTATTGATCAACTCATCAATTAATTGAGCGACTGTATTAGCTCAGCAGTTATCTGCCAGGGGTTAGTCCAACTAAAGAAACTCTTTAGAAGCTCCATAATGGAAGGAGAGAAAGGTTTCACCCTAACACTGATGGACTGACTCGTCATTGTTGTGATGCCTGTTTCTGTCTTCCTTCTTGACAGTTTGATCACTCACGGCTTCGGCACGCCGGCAGTCTGTGCGGCTCTCAGCACCTTCCAGACGGTCCTCAGTGAGATGCTCAACTACCTGGACAAAAACTCAAGTGGGAAAACGAGTGGACCCACCGACCAGCAGATCAACAACAGCTCAGAAAAGACGCAGCTCCGGAAAACAGCCGAGCCCCAGAGCAAAGACGGGAAAACAGAAAAGACTGAGTAGCCCCCACCTGGTGCCCGTGCCTTGGAGCGCTGCATTTAGGAGTGTGTGTGTGTGTGTGTGTGTGAGTGTGTGTGTGTGTGTACACTCAGAAATACAGTGTCTTCTCTGGGACATTTCATATTCACTCTTATTTATTTATGTTGAAATGTAACACTAACCTGAACTGCTCCAAATAACACACCCTGATGTGTGAGTAAAAATGACATCTCCTGTGTAAGTGTGTGTGTGTGTGTGTGTGTGTGTGTGTGTTGTGCACATTACGACAAGGAGGAGCCTCGCCATGGAGATGGCTGTGACTCATCCCAGACTTTTGTTTATTGATTAATTCTGAAAACAGGAAGCAAACATGAACATGCTGACATCACAGCTTTGCAGGACAGGGGTGGGAACTGCCAACATACTATTACATACATTACATACAAAAAAACAAAGGTTTTTTGGCAATTACATTTCTATCCAGTTAATTCAGGTGTGGATTTTCTGAAAAAAAGTTAAGAAACAAACACTTTTTTAACTCTGAAAGTTCATTTTCTATTAAATAATTAAAAGAAACGTCTGATAGTGACCACTAAAGCCCTAATTTTGCTTACATTTACAGTCCAAAAATTTTTTTCACTGATAAAACTGCGAAAAAAAAAAAACCTAACCAAGCCCAGGCCCTGATAAATACACACAGTCTGTTTTGTAACCGTGAGAGCAGTTGAAGCAAATCATATTTTTTACTTTTACACCAAACAACCAGTGCCATAGCAACCAGTGTGTTTATCATGTGGAAGACAGAGAAAAACTGGATGTCACACTGATATAACACAATTGCCTGGGGTAGGATACACTATTGTGTGTGTCTCTGTGTGTGTGCGCGTGTGTGTGTGTGATATAAAGAGAGTGAAAGCAAGAGAGAAGGGTCCAACTCAGCCATTTTGTAAAAGGTGACTTTGCAGTTGCCATCATTACTCTTCCCTGTGCATGTCTATCTTTGTACACCCCCAGATCGCAAGTTTAGCCAACACGAGCTCTCGGACTCACTCATGAACATTTGTAAAGATATATATAAATATTTAAATTACTTTTCTTGTAGGCTTTCAACTATATATAAAATCCCTACCTTCTAAACTGCTGGTGTTCAATAAAGACAGTTGCTACGTGTTCTACTATTTACTGTGGCTTTACATACTGGACACACACACACATGCACACTCACCATATATCAACATACATCCACAGAGAAGGAGGTGACAAAGATCAAAGTCAGCAACTGCGAGTTATTTATACGAGTTCACAGTGTAAAAATGATAAAGAGGCAGAGTTCCTTTCTAATGTTGAGTCAGGACTGCCTACCTACAGAGAAGTTCAAAAGCCTCTTTTGTGTGCATGAGCATGTGCATTTTCTTTTAGTTTAAGTGACTTCTGTCTGCTTATTTATATACAGTATTTCTCCAAAAATGTGATGATAAAACAGAGAGAGGAGCAGCTGCCTGTCGGCGTCTCCATCCGGGCTCCGCGGCTTCTATTTACTCTTTAATATTCCAGTCATTTAAAAGGAGGTCGTGTTCATGGCATAACACAAAAACACATAATCAGGCTGGATGCATGTACAGTGATACCTGTGTTGGTTTGAATCAATGCAAGTGAAGCCTCAAGTGGAAAAATAATAGCAGTAAAGAGAGGAAGGCCAAATAAAGGAAGGACATGACTTGGGTACAGAATACCAGTATATTCCCACTCTTGCTGTTATTGTTCCATCTGATATTTGACAGATGGTGTTGTACCCCCATAAACACACACACATGCAGTCTGTACTTTATAATGCTGGGACAAAGCTGAACCATTGCTAACGCACTGCAGAATATCTGAGAAATGCATGATGACAAATGATAAAGAGTAGTTCCCCTCTGGTATTTCACCTTTAGCTCTACACGAGTGCATTACTGCACCACAGGCAACACTGTCTACAACCTCTTCTTGCAGGGCTTCAGTGATTTGGCTTTTTGAAGCGTGATTATTTTTTTGAAACCTCTTGAAAGATTGTGTTTCTATCCAATACAATAATAACTAAAGGACCAGATCAAACCTCCAGCACTGATTAAAATTAATTCTGTGCAATGCAACCAAAGCTACTTTTATACACAGTAACTGCCATCAAGCAATTCTTATAACATTTTACTTTGGTGCTGAATTAGTTGACTAATTGATTACCCTTCTGTGATTCTGATAATCATTACAGTCATTTATCAAACAAATATTCCAAATATTTGCTGGTTTCAGCTTCTTAGAGGTGAAAATTGTCTGTTTCGTATCACTGTAAATTTAATAGATGAGTTTTGGCCTGTTGATGGGACAAATCCATGTGAGGATATGGCCAACTGAAACATAAACAGAAGTGCTTTAACCCCTTTCGCTGCTGATTTTGGTGGTTTCCTCCACATATTTGCTGCCAACAATGTAGCCTGTGAAACATGCACATACTTACCACCACCAGGAGGTTGATTTAAATGTTGTGTACACTCAGTTACACAAAGTGTGATATGGCATGAGCGCAGCATTTAGATACATGTAGAATAAATTGAGTTTGTGCCAGTAAAACTAAATGTAAACATTTGTCTGGCATTTGCTAAGCTACGGTATTAGACAGACATACCCAGACCTAAACCTAACGTGTGTATGCATCAGAGCATATTTTCTATTTCATGATTCTCAGCCTTCAATATGCAGTACTGTTTATATGATGACATGTTCTATTTATGAATTATTTCTGATATTTATATGCAGAAGTAAAGTGTAACATGCAGAACACACTAAATATCTTCAACCCAGAAATGCATTCAGTGAACACTGCCATTTCTACAGACGTGAGCTCTCAGTGGGGCTGTAACTCCTGCTGACTGAGCCCCACAGTCACGAATACCAAACTCTGCTATCTTCTAAGCCCCATCTCTTCTGTCTCGCTCCTCTGAAGCTACCACAGCCCTCCTCCTCCTTCCCTGCTTCTCTAGTAAAAAACCATTCCCTCCTCTGTCCTGATCCTGCTCAGTACCAGGAACATTCAATGCCTTTTCTCCCCAGCTGGTGCCCTAACTGTCCTCGTCACACACAAACACGCCATAGGAGCTACAGCATGCAAAACTCCACGACAACAGGAATGTCCTCTTCTTGATTTGGTGGCAGTCATTCTTTCCTTTCATTCATATCATCAGATCCTGCAAGGTGTACAGATGTGGAAGCTGCTGTTTGATTTAACATTATAGTATCATGGAGTTTGAAAACAACTCTTAACTCAGGCATTATTGATGATAGATTACTGTTTGATTTTGAATGCAAAGCTACGATTTAGCCACTTTATCTTTCACATCTCTTTAAACATCCAATAATGTGGCCATCATTGTTAAGATGCTGTCAAGTTATTTGTACCAACCAATTCCCAATCTCTAGATGGGCAATGGTAAAAAACCCAACATCTACATTTTAACTTGTCATAAGAAAAGTACAGGTGTTCCTAATAACATTAATGATGGGTCTGATCTATTCAAGTGCCCCTGTAAGCAATGACAGTGTGACAGTGAACCAACATGTGTAATATCAGGACCCTGAAACTGAAGCAACTAGAAGCCTATTTAAAATATAAATCTTTCCAAAAAACATGCTTTAAGTCTTATCCAGGTCTTACTAATATTTCCTTCTTCTTGATGCATTCCTGGGAGCCATTACTCCTCATTAACAGACTTAAAACAGTTTCATGCTGACAGTTTTCTAAATCTGAACTCTGGTCTCCTGTGGTTGGCCTTCATCTCTTTTCTGTGGTGTGCCAGTGCAGCCTAGTGGTCAAACGCCCAACTGCAGCTCGAGCGAGCACAATTACAGACATGATCTCACACTAAAACATGGGACTGAACTGGGAAAATGGGACCCAAAGAACATGTAGAACTTGAGGTGTTAGAACAGTAAAAGTCGATGAATAAAATAAACTAGATTCAATCCACATGGATTTAAAAGACATCACAAAATTTAAAAAAAGCTATCAAAAATGCTGCATACTGTACAAGACGTCCATAGATGTTTGTACACCAGAATAGTCACTGTTTTATGAGCCATTTCACTATTGCTGTGATAAACCGCATGTGATACTACGCTGCGTGCTCTCTTTGACAAGCCAAACAGTAACAGAACTGAAGCTAGGGATGTGTACACAGACAGGTTATGTCCAGTTATTTACCACACTTGCTAGTGCTATCTTTCTCTGATTGTGATGCAGTGTGAAAAAAATGCAACTCCAAGAACGTGAATCAAACATAAACGACTAAAAATTAAGAATTGTTACAGATGTGCATCTAAAAGGATGAGAGCAGGTGGAACTGAAACATCCCCAGGCTCCTCCTGACTGAGATCCCAAAGAAAGTGAAAATGAAGACAAATGTAGCTCATTTGTACAAGGTTGTAAACAAAAGGCAGGGAGCAGATATAACAGTATTAGTGCGACATATGTGTAATGTATGCTGATACACCACGTGTCAAAGCGCTGCAGGACAACAACCACAAACATGCCTCCAGACTTCCAGATTGTTAGGACATCTGTCATTGCTGACAGTCACATGCCCCGCCGTGTGTTGTGTGTGAGAGGGAAGAAGAAAGAGAGAGAGAGAGAGAGGGTGAATCTTTGGCAGTGGGTCATTCCAGAGAACATGGGGACAACAGTGCCCCTTAAACATTCATGTCTGGTTTGGCTTTTGTTTTTTCCTTTTGCACAAAACATCAAAGGAACTTAACCACAACGGCCATGTCGGAGAGATCGTACACACACATGCAAGTAGACACGTGGACAGACAGTAATAAAGTGTGGATAACTTCAGAGCTTAATTTGTGACAGTTACGACTGAACAACACAAAACTGAAGCCAGTGAGTAGAGGTTTTCATGAACCTAACCACAGTTATAAAACCAGAAGCCTGGGATCGCCAACAAAATACATGCAACAGCATTCTTCTGGGCTAAAAGGCCAAGCACAGAGATACGTGTATATTACCTCCTAAAGATATTTTAAATAGCACTTTCTCTCAGCCTTGACTTGTTCACATGCAGCTGAAAAAATGTCCCCACGCTGTTTAAAATCAGTTCACATCTTCATCACTAACTCACTGAAACAAGAGGCTTCACTGCAGCCTTTTAAATGAGAAACTACAGGACAACAACAACATGACATTTTCTCACTCAATACAGCTGTGATGGGTGGGTGCATGTGCGCTCTTATGTCACTAGGTGGAGCAATTTACACAAACACACATACACACACTGGGTCCTCACAGAAAGGCTTTAAGGGGTGGTTGTAGGGGAATGTGATTGCACTTTCCCACTGATCAGTTAATGTAAGAAATGGAAGAGAAGGTGTAAGTAAAGACACAAGGAATAAACATCTGGTCTATGAAGTGAAGTAAAGTAAATATGGAGCTAACAAACATGACTCCAGCTTGTGTTGTTTGTTTTATACATCCACTTAATTAAGATGTAGACCACAGCTCCATATATTATTACACCTTGAAACTACTGAAACCAGAACTGTCCAAAAGTATGTTGATCTGGTCAATGCCAGTAACCACATTTAAAGGGAAAGGCATTATTTTTCTGTTGTGTTGTGATGCCGTACCATGCAATGAGAATGGACAATAACTCAAAATCATTATTTATCATCTCTCCTAATGATTTTATATGAGAAATTGTGATTCGCGGTTCTTCTTGCTAAATCAAGGCATCTGACTCCAGTGAAATACCTGGGAACTCACTTTTGCTACCAAGGCCATAAGTGACAACATTTAGACACTTTCCATTTCTTGCCAAAGTGAGTCCTGTTATATAGTCATGCACTATGCAAATAGAAACACCCAGTCTATATGTAGACTAGGTACAGGGAAAAACAAATATATAAACAGATTACACATTCAAGGAAAAGTCTGAATAGATGATCTGACCTGCTTGTCAAGGAGGTCACTGAACGGTTTCAAGAGCATAGACATTATGTGAATCATCTGCTCCATTGAACCGCTATGGGAGATTCTGGATCAATGCAACCACCATAACAAATACTGCACTATAAATATTCAACACACACTTTTTATTATTATACTTAATTGTTTATATTGATAATACATTGTCTGTTACTTTTCTATTCTTAACACCAAGTGCCTTGTTTCTATTTGTGTCTATCCCCTTGATGCTGTAGCTTTGTGAATTTCCCTGCTGTGGGAACAATAATAATAATAAAGGTTAATCTTATCTCTTTTTTTCTTATCTTCATCTTATCTTCGCCAGATGAGGGCCTATATTCTGGATGAGTATATTCATTCCTCCGAGACTTGGATCAACTATGCCAAGGAGGACTGTGATAGACCTTACTAAGATACTTTTGTTGTTTGGTGACAGCATTAGTTGGTGTGCACAAAATCAACGATTAAGTCCTGCACTTATTTCCATTGCTCCCTTGTGGTTACACAGTCCAACAACCTTAGACAGACAAAGTAATTAAGACTAAAAAATATTAAAATACAAAAACAAATTGTGTTAATTTTTGCTTTAAATTATCACCTACCTGTACAGGAATCTATTTCATATTTGATCAGTATTCCTACAGGTTAATTACAGTTGATTCATTCATCTGTGGCCAATATCAAGTCTTTTGCTAATGAACTGCTGCTTTATTTGGGGAACTGCAGAGATATATGATAAATAAAACTCATGTTTCCTGCTTTGTTTTTTTTTTATTTGTTGCTCCTCATGCTTCTGTCTGCTGCTGTCAACCCGCCCTACAATCTATTCTTCTTCGCAGTAGTGGAGTCTTTACAGGGTTTCCCATTCACAAAGCCTCCTGCCTGACTTTACAGAGGGCGGAGAGAGGGAGAGGAAGAGAGAGAGGGAGAGAGAGTTGAGACATCTCTTCCTCACTTGGCTGCATTTGGTTTACCGACACCGGAGAAGCGACCATGCTGTGGAAACTAGTTGAGAATGTCAAGTATGAAGATATTTATGAGGTAACGTTACCATCCAGCTGTTTGAATCTTGGGGAAATAGATTTATTAGATGTGCTTTTAGGGATTTATTAAATGTGAGACATTGTTAGGTTGTGAGGTGCTTTCCATGAGGCTTTAGGCCTGGTGTCTGGTGATGCGGTGACTGTGAAGATGAACTGGATGACATGACAATTTTGTTCAGGCAGAAATTTGGCTCATTTGGCTTTTGAGTTACTTATCTTGTGTCTGTGGCTGTGGTGCAGGTTCATTCACTATTTGGCTCAACACAAATAAATATTTAATTATAAACTGTTTATAGGATTTATTTTAAATATGGCAATATGCTTCTTGAAAGAATTCTTTATAAGCAAGCTAACATAACTTTTTAAATAATTTGATGTCTAAAATGTCCCAATTGCCATTTAAAAAGGACCAATGATGCTGCAAAAACATATGTTTTAAAGGGTAAAATATTTTTTTTATTTCAAATTACAGCAAAAAAGAAACGTGACTTAGAGAAATGCTGGGTCAGAGCAGGGTGAGGGCATAGTATGTAAATCATCTGGCTTTGATCCCAGAACAATAATCTTTGAAAACGGACCAGGGGAATGGGGAGAGGCACCGCCGTGAAATGCTGCTCCGGTCGTCTCGCGCTGAATGGGCTCGAGCACAAAGCACAGGGCAGAGCCCGCGAGGCCCCTCGGTTCAGCCCGGTGGGAAGCCGTTGTCTCGTGCCGCACATGGCTCTTCTCCCACGGTGCGAGGGAGGGTAGGATATAATGTGGTTAAACAAGTCATCCAAGAGGGCACACGGGGGGCGTCGAGTCAACAATGTAAAGTTTAATCGCTTCTTTTGACTCATGGCACCATTAACACGAGCCCTTCACGCGCCCCGTAGTGTCTCGAGTGTGTTTTCGGTAATAAAAGGCAGCTGCAACACAACATGAGCCGCCCTTTATTTTTTCAGGAGTGTTAGTTGAGCAGGCTTGACTTGAATGTCTGAGTGAGCGGAGAAAAATCTTAATGTGCCGATTTTTCATGTCTGTGCGTAAAAGTAAACTGAAGAGAAATTTCCAGATTTGCCTTGGACTGGCACGGAGTCTAAGTGTACCCGGTGGGAACAAAACCTCTGACTGTGGAGGTATCAGTGTCGACCCTGTAATCTTCACAGTATACGCTGTTTATACCCACTAGGGTCTTGGTCTTATACTTGTATAGCGCCTTTCTATGCTTTTACAGCACACTCAAAGCGCTTTCATATTATTCGGCCATTCACACTCCCAAACCGGTGACATCACCGAGAGCAACTGGGGGTTCAGTGTCTTGCTCAAGGACACCTCGACATGTTGACTGGACAAGCCGGGAATCGAACCGCTAATCCTCCGGTTAGGAAACGACCCGCTCTACCTCCTGAGCCACAGGCTGTTTTTAACGTCAAAGATGGACTGCGCAAAATTGGTTTGTGCAAAAGGATCTAAAAAAGGCAACCACTAGATTCTGCCTACAACAGGCCCTCAGAGAGTGGATTTCCGTGATGGGGAATTCCCCGCGGTTCTGGACACCTTGTTCGCTTTCTTCTACTGGAGAGAGTCTTTTTTCTATCTCCTGCTGTTCGTGCGTCGTTTCGGCTCTCCATGGAATTTAAACGTCACTCACGGTTGCGCGAGAGGCTTCACGCTCCATGTGTCGCCAGTCCCCTGCCTCGCGCACATTAATATTCCTGTAAGTCTCAGTCATGAATAACAATTACACCGTATATCGAGGGTAGAGGCGGGATCTCGGTGCTTACAGTCAGAGCGGCGGCAGCTCCGGGCGGAGGAAGGTTCTGTATGGAGCTGTAGACCGGGCCGTGCCTGCAGATACAACTGCGCTGCTTTTACTTGGAATGAGTTTGGCTGTCTCGGCCCAACCTGGTCTTCACGATCCTGCAGCTTTACCGTGAACCCGCTCGGGACACCAGCAGAGGGTTTACAGATGTTAGTTCATTCCTACTCCGCTGCGGTGAGTTGTTTTCCCTCAGTGCATTTTAAGACATTTTAAACCAGGCTGGAACATTTTAGCTCCAGGCTCTTATGTTCTTTTTGTTCAGGAGATTCAAGGCCAGTTAGGCTGCTCTGGCTACATCACCAGAGGCATGTGCTCTAATAAATGCATCATGTCCTGGGCCTCATTGTGGTTTCATTTCGTTGATATGTGGGTCAAATTCTGCTAAGTTCTGATTTTTCTGTTCTCCTCTGCACCCTCTTCAAGGACCGGCATGACGGTGTCTCGAGCCACAGCTCGCGCCTGTCCCAGCTGGGTTCGGTGTCACATGCGGGACCCTACTCCAGCGCGCCGCCGCTGTCTCATGCTCCCTCTACGGACTTCCAGCCTCCGTACTTCCCGCCACCATACCAACCGCTTGCTCACTACCAGAGCCAGGACCCGTACTCCCACGTGAGCGACCCGTACTCTCTGAACTCCCTGCACCAGAGCCAGCAGAGCGCATGGGGGTCGCGGCAACGGCAAGACGCCGCCGGAGACCGGATGGAGAGCACCGCTCTGCTTGCACAGCCTCGGGCCTCCTTGCCTCAACTGTCCGGGCTGGACCCACGACGGGACTACGGTGGCGTGCGGCGGCCCGACGTGCTGCTGCACTCCACTCACCCGGGACTGGATCCCAGCATGGGCGACGGACTCCTGCATGGCCTGCATGGTATGGAGGATGTTCAGGTGAGTCAGAGCTCAGAAGTGGAATTTACAGAGGTTAAAGTGCATGTAGGAATATTTCTCAGTTCCAATTATGATTATATTTTAAAAAGTTATTTGAAGGATATTCGGAGAATCAGTGCAGACGTCTGCATGTCGGGGGCCACCGGGGGCCACTGGACATAAGGGAAACAGGCCTATCCCTCTGCATTATTACAACTTATTGAATATTGTCTCAGATGTGACTGTTTTGCACTGTAATCAGAAATGTAACCACTCCCATTTACACTAAAGGCGGTTTTGTTTTCAGTGCAAGTATTTACATGTCAAAATATAACTATGAGCAGCCTTTTCTTAGAATATGCCACAACAAATAAAACGCAATAAATAAATAAAACGAACACAGCTGCAGAAGAAGAAAGGGGTTGTGGTAATTGCTGACCGTTGTCTTCTTCGTTGTCGCGGCATGTTTCTCGTGCCTCTATGGTTAAGGTCAGTGAACTCAGAGCAGCACCCTCAGGGCTGAACTTACAGCAGATGAAGAATCAAACGCAAATGGCCCAGAGCTAAACAAACCAAACCTGAGATGTCCTCTCTACTGAGGAGATGCGTGTATGTAACACAAGATGGGCTTCACAAAAGGCTGCATGAGCTCAAATGTTGCTCAGCAGCATCCATTAGGCTATAGTAATAATTCATGTACTACAATTATTATAAGAATTGTTATTATATTTGCCTTACTATTAGGTGCTAAATATACAAAGCAAGCGGTACAGACTTCATATTCATCTGTGTAGGATTCCATCTTCCTTCGTTTCCCCTCAGGGCACAACCATCAGGAATTGTTTGCCATTTAACCTCCACAGTAGATTCTCATTTCTGGCTTTTTCCTATTTGTGTCATGCATTAACCCCATATTTTTTATTTATAATTTATTTAATCAAATAATTCTTTTTCTATAGGAGCATGAAACAATGATGACATCGACTCTAAAAACATTTTTTTCTGCAAGTTGATAAAGAAATTTGATGAATGGGTTTTTTTTTTATTAGATTAGATAATCTTCTTTAGCCAAGTCATGATGACAAAACCACTGCACTACAAATTCGGTGTGATTTCTGAATGGACACAAACGACTTAACGACGTCTTTTCCTCCCTTTTGGAACATGAAGTAAATCTTGTACGGTTGTTTGCGTAGACTGAATTCGATCAAACACTAAAAATAAGCTTTACATGCTCCTTAAGTGGCTTTTTACAGCTTCACTGTGGGTGATCTTATATAAAACAGACTATAATGATTTGTTTTTGTCTTGGTAATAATAGACCGTTGACGACACCAATGGAACGAACATCCTGGATCAATCAGTAATTAAGAAAGGTACGCACAAACACACACACACACACGCACGCACGCACACACACACGTGCTCATCTTTGTACTCCGTGCTGTCAATAGTCCTACCAATGTGCCAATGGATAAAAACAGCAACGTTATTAAATAGCCAGCTATTTAAAAATGACAATTATGCAACCGTGTCAAGTTTTTGAGGCTGATGATAAAAGGATGGGGGGGGGGGGATACGTGCTGTGTTGTCAGGAGCTGCCACCTTATCTTGAAAATTATTTACTCTCTGGGTCTTCATAGCCTGTAACGATTATTTATTTCGTCTGCTGCTATGGATGATGATGATTTATGTTGTGTACAGCTACACTCTCCTCGCTCATAGGAGGGTAATTCTGGGCACAACAGGGGTCTAAACTGGATCCAGGCCTACACATCTCCATGTACATTTGGGTGCAGAATCAAGCCGGGTTAACGATCCCGGTATATTGACTAGCTGCCAGTGTGTCGCTGTCAGGCTGCCATGCTGCCGCTCTGATGATGAGCGGTGATTCAGTTACGGGATGTTGAGTGACTGAGCTCCCCGCGGGGCATTTAAGCCGCTGATGTAATAAATGGCACCGCTCACCGCGATCTCGTGAGCTCGTTTAGAGCTAATCTGCGGTATTATCCCCCGTGGAGCCATCAGAAACCCCCTCGCTCTGGCCCCTACGCATGCATGCATGAGCCTGGCTGGCTGCTTCTTCTATTACACCATTAGCGCAGAGCATTATAGCGCACGGGATGAAGGAGTATCTAGTGTTGCTGGTGGGAGTTAAACCGGCCGTGGAGATAAAACGGGGAGGTGGTTAATGCGATTTGAGAGCGCGAGCCAATCCACAATCGATAATATTGTAATGAGAATGTCGCGCGACATTAAATAACAGCAAATGCCCGGTGCGTGGGCGCTTCATTAAGCCAGGGCCGCCCTCTGAGCGCGCACGGTCTATGCACTGATCAAAGTTTGACGAAGGAAAGAGATTTAAAGACTTAACACTCGAGTCATGTGAACACAATCCGGATACTGTCCATGTACAAAAACTAAGATGTCCACTCATGATGCCTCCATCCTTCCTCTTTCAGTTCCCATGCCACCGAAAAACGTGGGCTCTTTGATGCTCGGTAAAGACGGACTGATCGGTGGAGTGACCGTGAACATAAACGAGGTGTTCTGCTCGGTACCGGGCCGCCTATCGCTGCTGAGCTCCACCTCCAAGTACAAAGTGACCGTAGGGGAGGTGCAGAGGAGATTGTCACCGCCCGAGTGCCTCAACGCCTCCTTGTTGGGAGGCGTGTTGAGAAGGTAGGACTGCAGCCTGGAGCATGTTGGAAACCAAACTAGTGTCCAGGAATAACTCTGTAGATACCTAAACCCCTGTGGGTCGTTAAATGTGGAGGCATATAATGCGCTGAGATATAGAAAAAATGGTCCATACAGTATTTAGATACGGCATTTCACATAGATTTGTTTCCTTTGTTTCTACAGAGCAAAGTCGAAAAACGGTGGGAAATGTCTGAGAGAAAAGCTGGAGAAGATTGGACTGAATTTACCTGCTGGGAGACGCAAAGCTGCCAATGTCACATTACTAACATCTCTCGTAGAAGGTGATTGATTCATTAGTTTAAAACTGCACCGTAGACTTTACTCTGACACATGTTCTCTTATTTTAAAGGTTTTCCAAAAAAACAAACATCATTTTCTCTCTGTCCTCAAAACCATCCCAGCTTTGCGTAAATGACGCTGAAAGAAAGAAAGAATTGTGGATTTTATTAGCGTTTTAGGTGTTTGTTTGTTCAGAGACAAAATGATCAACGATCCAAAAGAAAATAAAGTCAGCCAGAACCTAGGACTGCGAAGGTCATGACCTTATAGGCTTAGTGTCTCTGGCTGTAAGGAAATACATAATATTCATTTTTTTGAGCAAGTGAGGATGTGAAGCTACTGCTGCCAAGTTATTTATTTACTTGATTAAAGTCTGGGCCTAAAGTCTGAATGCAACATTTTGGGCATAAGCCTTGTTTTCCACACACAAAGCTTAAATTATTTCCCCTATAAATATGGTCATGAAGGCAACGATGTTCTTCAAACAGGTAATATGGGCGATTTATTTATTTATTATTTGACAAATATTTGTTCTAAATAACTCAGGAAAGGTACTCAAACTAACAACTCATGAGGCATAAAAAAATTTCTTACAAATTTAAATTTGCCATATGTAAAATCTGACATCTGCTCTTAACTGTCACAGTCGGACTTTTGCCCCTTTTCGTTGTTTTTGCGTTAGAAAACTTGTGCCTAAAAAAGATAAAGTCATTATTTTAAACATCATGAACAAACAGGAAGTAGCCTATATGGTCACAGCACATTAATTAAGGGTTAATAAAAAGACAAAACCCGTGTGAGACTGTACGTGCTGGTTTTAGTGCTAGTGTTTGTGCAGTAATAATGCAGCTCGGTGTTAAAGAGAAATTAGCCACAAACCTCCGTTACACAGTCAAATATGTAGCTGCAGCTTCTTTTTGTTTATATTGACTATACATAAACACCCCTTTCCTCCAGGCGAAGCGGTCCACCTGGCCCGGGATTTCGGTTACATCTGCGAGACGGAGTTTCCCACCAAAGCCGTGAGCGAGTACCTCAACCGGCAGCACGCGGACCCCAACGAGCTGCACACGCGGAAAAATATGCTGCTGGCGACAAAGTGAGTCTGATGGAGCGGTTGATTAGATTGTGTTTCCTCACAGCCGTCACAGGCTGCATTCTGCAGCACGAGTCTGTGGTGGAGCTCATAGGGAGGTTCCTGTGCTAATGGGATTAAAGCCTTTGATTATTTTATTGGGCAATTTAAAGGACAACACGGGCATTTGGATGCATTCAAACAGAACTGAGTAGAGAATTAGGAGCATAAAGGTCAGGGTCTGTTGTCAGCACAGAAAGAAAGAAGGGAAAATGTTATTTTAGTAAACGTTAACAACAGAAATAAACCAAATGTCTGTACATTTCAAAGTATTTCTATTTCAGACTCCACTGTTACAGCAGATGGTCCTATATTTCATTGACCCAAAATTCTAAATAGACACAGTTGGGCTCACAATCTGTAGTTCCAACATATGGAAAGATTTTTGTTGATCTGAAACACATCACTGTACACAGAGTGCAGACAGAGGGTGAAAAATAGGGCATGTTTCCTCTCTAAATAGGAATTTTTCCAGTGAAGGAAATGATTGTGAAATTAAACGCACCCATTTTCCTGGGGCCTCTATGGCCTCTGTGAGACCCCCTGAGGCTGCAGGCCTCCTCCATACTCTGTGCTCTACTCTTAATCACACACAGTCCAACATGGCACTGACATTTAAGAAGGACAGTGAATTTTTCTAATGAAACACAATGAACTCAGTATGGATCTAACCTATAATAAAATGGCTGATTGAAAAAATGCCACATCAAAAAAGTAGGTTTATTAAATTCAGTTCAAACATTTAAGAAATGAGCTGAATTCCATCTTAAATCATATAATGACTAAACAAACGTGGGAAGGTGTCACGTTTCAACTTTTGATTGTAACATACATTTATTTAAAAAAAAAAAGCTGCACAAGATGTGAGAGTTCCTCAATGCGACTTCATCGCTTTACATGTTACTGCACAAATTCATCTCGCACAGAACAATTGGCTCAAGCACCAGTGAACCTTATTTGATGCTGGACACCTATACGGCTAATAGATGTTATAAACTGTAGGCTCTGAGGTTGCACATGTATGTTTGACCTCTGCTTCTGGTCTTAGAAGTGATCCATTTTTAGTGGTCCTTCTCACAAGGTTACTTACATTAATCCATTTTTATGGTTGTTAAACTGTGGAATTGAATCCAGGATCTGGTGATTACCTTTAGCAACCGGGCAGGATAAATTATTTATTTATTTATTATTTAAGAAACCAGAGCGGCAGCTGTGATGTGGATTTATGGATGTGGATTAAATCACAGAATCACTTTGGATTCCTACTCTATGTTCATTTATGCCTCTGAATGTTAGCAGAAGTGTAAAACACCTAACAAAAGCCCCTTCAGGAAGCCTGTATTTTTTTTTTTTTGCTTGCATAAAAAGTGCTGTCTCCTGGCCTGCACTGCATAAACCATCTGCCTGTCTGTGTGTGTGTTCATGTGGTGCTCGGTATGTATGGTGTGCTCAGTGGTGGATGTTTGATGGTTAGATTCAAACCTGTTCCAATACTGTGTGTCGGTGCTGCCTGTTAGAAATTCATTATTTAGCAGTGAAGTGTTTCAAGTCGTCAGAAAACAACAGCGAGAGCCTTGAGTGTAGCCCGGGGTGGCGGCTTCTCCTCTCTACTCCCCTAACCCCAGCTGGGCTCGGCCTCCACCGCCTGTCACTCATTTGCTGGAGCTCTGCCCTTAGGCCGCTTACAGGGTGTGTGGGTGTGTGTGTGCATGGGGTGTGCAAGTATGAATGTAAGAGAGGGAGAGGGGGTCTTTTGAATATAAAATGTGGGCCTAAAACCAGAGAATGATTTGCTGAAATTTAACAAGGAGAACGAAGTGAAGGTGATTTTCTTTCACTGCTGCCCTTTTCAATGAAACCATAGTGAAGAATAAAGATGCAGTGTATGACCTCTTTTCACAAATTACACATATTAACAACTAAATATTTACTTTTATATGGAGGCCTCAAACTGCTCTGGCATTATTACACGTCGGGTGCTAGGGTTTTCCTGACGATAATTTGTCAAGCATAAAGAAAATGACCTCATATGGAGTGCGTGTTTAAGGTTTAAATGGTGACCGATGGAGTCTGATGCAGAAAAAGCAACAACACATAAATGTCAGTTGTTAAGTGCAAGCAAGAGTAATTTTGCAACAACTTTAACCATAAATATTCAAAATTATTCACCAACAGCTACAATTTTAACCAGAAGATGCATTTTAAGGGAATCAAATACTCGAGATGTTCACTTGGAAAACTCAGTCTGTTGCTCTCCTGGTGCTACCACTCTGTAAAAGTAACAGCTGATAGCACAGAGTTTGTGCTTTTTCTCTGATTGTTTTCCAAAGGCATCAAGGGGGAAACACAGGGAATCACAAAATGAAACAAAAGTAGATAAAGGAAGGCTGAGGGAAAGTGGAAAACAAACTGCCACACTTCATCACAAAGTGAGCCCTAGGATACACTGAACATTACTTTAAAGAGGAGGGATTATAAAAAAGGAAAGTATCATCAAGGGGATGTTTTCACTTTGGATACATTATGCTCTGCAGGACTATCTGGGGAAATTAAATTTTTTTTTTTTTTTTGCATCCAGATTTTATGAACTTGAACTCCTCTTCTGTAATGACAGAGGAATCATACATTCTTGTATACACACTGCAAGTCTTTAAAGTACAAAGAAAAATATAAGTGCATGAACATGGAATAAAACATTCCCTGTAAATATAAATGTTAGCGTATAGTTTTACGAATAGTCTCAGTTTCTCGCAGAAGATGCTGGGCAGTCACTGTGTGACAGACGAAGGCTGATCCTTGTTAAATGGCTTTAATATTTAAGCAAAGCACAAATGGTTAGCGCAGCACTGACGCAGCAAGCTTTAGCTCAGCATTCTTAGTGAATGGTTGGGTGGGGCTCAGAGTCCTGCACGGGTCCAATTTTGAAAATCTGCACTCGCCCCACATCTGCCAAGCTCCATATCAGACCCAACCTGTTACCCAGAGTTATTTGTAAATGAAATCCAAACCTGACCCAACCCATTAATATAAGACCCGCAGCTCAACCCGTATCCGTAATTAAAATAGATTCTAAGCTACACAGTCACTTACTTTAGAGTGCTTAAGAGTTGTTTTCTTGGAAAACTACCCGTTGATGGACACAGCACCTGGGGTCTGCAGCTGTTCCCTTAGTGAGGAGGTGTCCAGCTTGTGGCTATCAAACTCCAACACTTTTTGGCTCTATTTACAAGCAGCAAAGCCGCTGATAACATTGTTCTCACTGTCTATAACCACACTGAATTTCTTGGCCTTCAATGATGTATTGTTCACAGTTTTGTATTTAACACTATTTAAGCTTTACCACCCACATTTAGGCTATTTTTTAACCCATGCCCATACTCGTGAATTAATATAAACATATTTTTACCCATTACACCTTTTTTTGTGGGTACCCAAAGGTACCCGACCCGGTGCATGACTCTGGGGTGAGGTCAACCTGCTGTCACGAGCAACTGAACCACCTGCAAGAATTTCATATGGCTGGGTTTCAATGACGGTTTCAATGCTGTTTAGGGTCTTTTCACCCTGACAAGGACACAGTTGTGTGAGAATCTCTGGTTTTGCTTTGCGTTAATAACTACAACCATATTTTCTGTGAAAAAATTTGTTCCTAAAATTACAACATTTCTAATTCTAACAATGCAACATTACTGACAACGTTTTTAAAAATCTCCCCCGTTGAACTGTTTCTCCACAGGACATAAAGTTCAAAAATATGCAGTACTATGAGATAGAGAATCACAGATCTCTGAGATTCCGCACACTAGATGCAGACCTCATTCATTTTTTAGGTTTACTGTAGCTTTAAATAGTGTAACTAGTGCTGCACACGGTCATCCATCAGCACTATGTTTTACTAGAGGCATCTTAGCGAGATGTTGGTAGTGGCGGATTTTGGTGCATTTCCTGAAGTTTTCAGACAGGCTGCATCTACACACTATTGTTACGACAGGGTCCGTATCAGCCACTCATTGTGCTCTGCAGTTTAAAAACCACTCCTCGAGTCAGGAATCTGTCTTTGAGATATGGTGATTAAATTCCCTACAATCTTGCATTATAAGGTACAATGGTTGATTGACCTGTTATCATGGGGCAAAGGATTTATTGTTAGATAGGTCTTAGTTGATATGTTGCAAATTCCTCTAAAAATTTCACTCAGACTTAAATCAAATTATTTGCGATGCTGCTTTGGGTTCCCTGCAGATCACGGACTCCCCTATTGGAGCAGCCTGTTTTGCCTGATTTGAGTTGAGTTTTTACTGTGATGTTGCCTGCATTTTATCTTAGCCTTTCCAATAACCGTGTTCTCAAGGAAACACAGAATAAGCCACTGGTCATTAAATTTAATGATACTGAATAATGGAAGCTAACAGAGGGAGCCGCTTTCCAAAAACTCTACAATAACACAGGTTCTCTCCTGATGTCCTGTTGTGTCTTCTCCTCTGCAGACAGCTCTGTAAGGAGTTCACAGACCTGCTGGCCCAGGACAGGACTCCCCTGGGCAACTCAAGGCCCACGCCTATCCTGGAGCCTGGCATCCAGAGTTGCCTCTCTCACTTCTCCTTCATCACGCATGGCTTTGGTTCTCCCGCCATCTGCGCCGCGCTCACCGCCCTCCAGAACTACCTCACTGAGGCTCTCAAAGGACTCGACAAGATGTTTCTCAACAACCCTCCCAACAACCGGCACGGGGATGCTGGCAACAAGGGTGGCGACAAAGAGGAGAAGCAGCGAAAATGAAGCAGGGGAAGAAGAGGGGCAACGACAGAGAGCAAAGCAGGAGCCAGACACACAGACAGAGGCGTTACTTCTAGCTTTACACCACTGCGAATGACCTGACACACACAGGACCTTGAGAAGGAGGAGGAAGAAGAAGAAGATTTGGTAAAGAGATGACACCCATGGGCCAGTGTCAGAGAGCACGGAGGAATTTTTCATCTGTGTTACGTTCTTTTCATTCCCCTGAGGACATGGTGGTTACTGTGTTACATCCATTTTGCTCCCCCTGCCTGCATCCTGTGCGACTGAGATGCTGTGAGCAACCAACAAACAATATTGTGTGTGTGTGTGTGTGTGTGTGTGTGTGTGTGCGCACACCTGAATAAGAGAGTGTGTGTGTGTGTATGAACTTGTGTTTGTCTTCACACAGAAAAAGTATTGTGGGTATTAAGATTGGGTGATGAGCATTCTCTCTGTGAAACAGGTTTGTCTGGTTATTTAACACACGTACGAGGAGGGAGGGTGTTAACTTATGTGTGTAAATATTTATTTATATTAATTTAAATGGATGGTTGTGTAAATAGGTACACCAGCTATTTTGGAGTAGGCCTATTTATCTGTGATCTGACCTTTGTGAGCCAGCGGGGGGCCAGGATTCATCCGGTGTGTTTCTGTTCTTATAGAGCTGTTTTCATGGTGCTGATGATGGGTAGACATGCTTCTAATTGTCCAGTGATTTCATTTCTATCACAATGATAATAAACCATGTGTTTTATTATGCGAGGTGTGCAGCCTGCGCCTTTTCTCCAGGGAAGTTCTTCACTAAATTCCCACTAAGGACTGGGGGTCAAAATTACTTTCAGGTTAATCTATTCAAAATGTAAAACATGGAGCCATTAGCTAAAGGTATTTCATGAATTATTAATGAACACCTGTAAGTGAAATAGTTTACATTTGGGGGATTTAAAGGAAAATGCAACCCTCTCAGTGACTGAAAGTGGAAGTGGACTGACCCCAACCATTTTCTTGTTCATCGCTGTAATTAGTCAAATTCACAGGCCAGGCAACTTTGCTAGTCATTCTGATATAAGTGAATTGTAAGTTAGTATTTAAAAGCTGCAGCACGCAGTAAATGTGTGATTAGTTTCACTGCCTGTGTTTAAAAAGTTTTTAAAAAACCATAAAGGTCTACTTAATCATTGAATGACTACAACAAAGTAAACCATGTAAATTCATTTTACTTTTGAGTTTAACTAACACTAATTATTAGTTGCAGAAGACGGCATATTTACTATTAATTTCTTTCAAAAAGCAACTCAGCTTTCGCCATCAAGGAGAAAAGGGGAAAGCTCTCTTGCATCTTCACCTTCCCACTTGGAAGAAAATATGTGAAAGCCATTAGACTCAAGCTTTGACTTGAATGCAAATAAAAAGGTAACCCCTCCACCAGAACTGAAAACACAAAGTTGAAGTCAATCTCAAACTAATTAACCAGCGACTGAATACAAGTGCATAAGTTAAGGTTTTCTGATGCAGTTTTTGGCCATTTGCTTCAGTAATGTTTCTGAATAATGACATAATTATATCTCCTGGTCAAAATGTTATAGCACAATTTAAATACAATTTCACTATATACTTTACTATACTTATAATTTACATGGAAGGTGCTGACTGGGCCATTAGATAGATGCATATTTTATTATTTGTGAGCGATAAAAGATAAAGTATATCCACAAAGCAGTGGTATTTTTTTATTATTATTATCAGTAGTAGTATATAATCTGTCTAATAGCTTTGCAAGGTTTAACGTGTCAGTAGTCTGGAGTCCATATAGCTATTGCCAAGACTGAAAGGAACGAACACACACACGCACACACCATGATGGATACCGTCCTATTCCAGGGAGATAATTGGCTGTATTTTCCAGCCAGTGAGGCCCTCGTTTTCAGAGAGGCTCCTCTCTCTTGCAGGCGCGCAGGGGAAATAGAATCGTGCCTCCCGGGCCCGTTTCTGCGGTGGGGATCCGCTGCCGTTGTGCTAATGACGGGAGAGCGCGGGGCACAGAAAAATAGAGAGGGACGTAGAGGGGAAAGCTAATGAGAACGAGAGACGGAGAGAAAGAAAACGGGGAGCTTGCTTGAGTGTGAAAGAAGGAGGGGGAGGGAGAGAGGAAGTGTCCTGCGGGCTCGGTGTGACCCGTGGAGCGGAACACCGCGTGACGCAGGTGCAGGGTGCAGCATCCGCATGTCCGCGAGCGATTCGCGCACAACAAAGACGAGAAGCTGCTGAGCATCAGTGGCGGCAACAACAACAACGACAGGTTGGCTGGAACAATAAACAAACAAGGCCGAGAAAACAAAACAACAAACAGGAGGGAAACACGACGTTTTAACAAGTTAAGTTAACAAGCAATATCCGTTCATCAAGAGGATATGTGGCGTTAACAGGCACTGGGTCATATTTAATGCAAGGGAATCAAAATGTCTTATTAAAGACAGGGAAATGGGCAGGTAACACTAACTCCTACTGTTTAGCATTCAGACTAAAAATAAGTGGGTTTTAGCGCACTATAATGTAGTTGCAAGCAGATAAGTGTTTATTAATGTATTTGTCGATGACAAACACCTCCTGCGGTCACCCAAGAGGCAGATCATGATTAACAATATAATAAGACACAGCTGTAATTATACAAAATGTTTTCATACATACACATACCCTTCCTTACAGATGCATATGGCTATATTAGCTACAGTGTGTTGTCACCCATTTATTAAATATTTGTATGCCCATAAACGCAAAACAGAGGAGCTTTAAGTAGTGTTACCAAAGTTTTATATAGCATTTACAAAGGAGTATAAGTAGGTGTAAATGTCAGTAACTGCAGGGACAAATCAAAGTGTGACACATCCCCATAATGTAAAGATTAAATTGCACAAACCTAAGAAAAAGCATTAATACAGTACAGCTGGTCAGTAACTGCTCAGTGACTTTTGGGAATGATTTTCATTTTTCCTCATGAAACAGCTCATCAGACCAAAAAAGCTTAATATAATGACAGTAAAGATGGTATTTGTTTGTATTAGATGTAAAATTAAAATGAAAAGAACAAATTGATGACAAAAAAAGATCTCAAACATGTTTGCAAACATGTATTTCTCTCCTCAACATGAGTAACATCAGTGATTGGTGCAGCGACACTTCCCACTGCCAACAATGTTGTTTCACCCCCATTCTGTGTATTGAGCCTCAGGCCTACTGAAAATGCTTCAGGAGTCAGAGCTCCATCAGGACGGGCACTACATGCACAGTGTCCACCAACAAGTCTGCAAGGCCATGTGAATATCATAAATTATGGCAATCTTGTTTCCTTCTAATCAACATTTCACTTATTACAAATTATTATAAACTACAAGCTTACAGATTTCATTTTTAAAAATCAAAATACTTCTAAGTTTGTAAGACTGGAATACGCAACAAAGTGCTGTCAGAGCTGTCGAAAAAGTTCTATTATCTAAAATTATGTGATGTTGACTTAAAATCTTTTCGATTGTGTGGCACTGATTTGTCAGTGTACAGTAGGTGACATTAGAACAGTGCAGAGCCGTGTCGTCACTAGGAGTCAGTCAACACATTGCACCACTAACCAATGTATGGTCTGCTTTTGTTTGCAAACTTTTTTAGGTACAATATGGTTTCAAATTTTAATCAGTTCCTTATAAAACCACATAAACATGCTAAAAAGATATAAAGCAAATGTCACGATTTTTCAGTTCTGAGTTAACTTGTGCTTTAAAGTGTTAAAATAGTTTTTAAAACCAGCTGTCTGTACCTGTGTTGACCAGTAGTCAGTGTGGTGTGTGGTGTACAGCTTTAAAAGGACTACCGCTGTGTAGTGTGCCCCATAACCATATGAACCATTACAAACTTGGAGATTGTTGATGGAGACTGATTCCAGGAATCAATGCGAGGTACAGCGAGGTATAAACCACATCTAAAAAACAATACTCATGTGAGAAACACTGGTTACTGCTCAGGCACACTTCAATGTTTCATGCAGTCTCCACACAAAGATTCTCCAAACATTCAGATTAACAAATACAAGTTACTGTGAAGACAAAATTAAATAATGCTGTGACAGAGGGGCACTTCATTGCAAAGTCAGGCCTAAACCTGAATCTAGCATTAAGAAACCAGAAGTCTAGCTCCAGGACAGTTACTGGTGTTACTGGTGAAAACTTTAACCGCTTTTATTGGTTTCTATAACTCTGCACTGTTCTGCGATCACCTGTCAGAGTTTAAGTTTTTGCAGGTCAAATGAGGCTGATCATGCTAAAACACATCGCTTCCTGTTCACCAGGCTAAGGTCCAGCAGCTGCAGAGTGTTGGAATAAACATTTGGGGAATGGATATAATATGAATCACTTGTGTTTGATGAATTGCTGATAATGGGAAGCAAAATTTATTTTTATGAAAATGTCACAGGTTGTTACTTTAATGAGAGGGCCAGTGGAAGGTAATCTAGTTATGAGCATGGACTGAGCTTATGAGGACAAGCACACATTTGATAGATGCAAAGTGTGAGAGCAGCACCGACCGTCTTTTCTATATGCTGTCTGTCGTTTTGCCAGGAAGTGAGGGGGCAGGCCCCTGTCAGCAAAGCCCCTCAGCATTCTGTCACGCAATGGGCTGTAAAAATGCTTATCCAACACACACACACAGGTTATCCAGCATGCAGACAGCCGAGTGCCGGCCGGGAGTAATTCCTGCTCTAGGCGCACTGCTCCAGGCAAGGAAGGCACGTGCTGGATATTTCATTATTCATTAATTTACTGTTTAACAAATCCTGTCATTACTGAGCCTGAGCAGAGTTCACACACACACACACACACACACACACACATACATAAAACACACACTCTCCACAGCGGGTGACAGGCGTGGCAAATCAGCCTGTTTGATCCGGGCCTTCTCAACAAACGGGGAGAGAGCCATGAATGATAAGAAACGAGAAGCCTCGCCGGAACGAGGGAGCGTGACACTGTCTCACAAAAAGCCCTTTAGCACGGAGCAAAGCACCGCCGGGGCCTCACCCAGGGCCCAGGGTTCATTATATGAAAAGGGAAAAAACAAACAGTTGGCACAGCCGTGATCAATATGAAAGGCGACGCTCCCACACACACAAAAGGCAAGTGTGAATCAATTTGACAAAAGACGCTGTACTGTTTCCTTTCTGCACATTCTAGCACGGCTGCTGTTTTCACCGAGTCCACTAATGGGATCAGGATTAAAACTGTAAATGTGTTTTTGGCTCATCCATCCATGTTTTTGGCTTAAATCCCTGCAAAAACAAAGAAGAACTGACTCAAGTTTCCCATGAAACATATGATGAACTGAGACACTACAATAATGACTTTTACTTTTCAGTCTAGCTCACTTAATTAATTAACAGACAAAGCCTCCAGGCTTCTAATATTCATTATTCCAAAGGAAGAATAACATATATCATATATGTATTATAATGATATGTGTCTTACAGTAAATGAAGTAAATTTCATTTTAAATCACTCTCTAACCAAACTCCTTGTCAGAGTGGACAGTTTGCTGCTGGAGAAGGTGGAGAAAGGTAACCAGAGACTTGATAAGAGACCTGCAGTCAAGCAAAAGGTTAAAGCCTTCAAGTCCTGGCGCTGAATGCTGCTGTGAAAGAATAAGACTGTCGTTCCAAGGAGAAACGACTT